CAGTTTTGAAAGAGGCACCATTGCTAATCATAACTATATACTTAGCAATATTATTGCTTAGTTTGGTTACTTAATACCCATAGGCAGGGTAGGGGAACAAACAAGAGGCCCATGGGCCTTATAGGTCACCTGAGCATTATGCAACAACTTTCCAGTGATTGAATTTGATCCATGTTTTAAGCCAGATGCTATAGCATTTACAATTTTGATCATCATAACTATACACTTAGCAGTTGCTTAGTTTGGTTACTTAATACCCATAGGCAGGGTAGGGGAACAAAAAATGCATTTCAACAAATCAGTAATATTCAGCAATAATCAGTAGTGCCGCTACCACACATGAACCCTTGACTCTTAGGCCTAGATCCACACATTGCACAATTTTTGAAAAGGCATCCTTGCTTTTCAAAAGTATTTGATTAATACCAAGGAGCAGATTTCAAACAATTCATTATTTTTCAGTACAGACCCCCCCCCCTCTATTGTACTACTGACCCTGGGGCCTTGAAATTCACAATTCTGGAAGATAAGGGCCCTTGCTCATAACTATATAGGAGGTTCATATGCTTAATACCCAGGAGCAGAGAAGAAAATATTCAAAGATTTAATGTTTTTTTCACTATACCGTAAATCTGGAAATTTTTACGTCGATTTATTTTTGCGAATTTGAGTCAAAAAGCTGTTGATTAATTTTTACGCTTCAAATTTTTGCGAATTGTCACTGGTGCTAAATTTAAAAATCACTGAAATTTTTCATATCAGGTTATTTTTCAAATAGTATGCCCAGTTAGAATACCACCAATATACTCGCAACGTGGCAAGAAATTGCAAAATCGCTCCCAAACAATTTTGATAAAAATGCAAAAGGATTTGCACTGAAAATAATTTCTAAATCAATTATAACAAACATTTTAGAGGTTGTGTATGCCTTTTAACCTAAAGTATAATCCAAATAAAGAAAAAATATAATTTTCTCAACGTTTGATTTTTTTCTCACCTAAAATTCACATGCCGCGTTTACATTTGGAACTTTCTAGTAAATGCACTGAATTTGAGTTATTGCCCGTGTTGATACACGATTAGATAAAATGACAGTTCTCTTTTTATTGGCAAATTAATTGATGAAAATAATTAAAAAGGGACATACCGCCTCAGTGCTTGTCAAATCATCGGACGATATTGCATATAATTAGGGCAATTTACACGCACGGGTAATTAACTTGTAGTTATATAGTAGACTAGTGTAAACAGGTTTCTTTTGAAAATGACCAGTGCTTACCGACGCCTATTCACTGAGTTAAAAAAAGACACGAGTTCTCAGAAAAAATTCTTCACATGTTCGATTTATTTTTAAGAAAAATATTTTTGCGAATGCAATGCACGCGCAAATTTGCTAAAAATTTATCTACAGTAAAAATTTCCAGATTTACGGTATAATCAATAGAGCCCCTCCCTAACACCAGAACCCCTGACCCTGGGGCCATAAAAATTTACAATTTTGGTAGAGGCATTCTTGTTCATCATAACTATGTACTTCGTTAGTTTATTTAATACTTTGGAGCAGAGAAGAAGATTTTCAAAGAATTCATGTATTTTCACTATGTAATCAATAGAGCTCCGCCCTAACACCAGAACCCCTGACCCTGGGGCCTTAAAATTCACAATTTTAGTAGAGGCACTCTTGCTCATCATATCTATGTACTTAGTAAGTTTATTTAATACCTAAGAGCAGAGAAGAAGATTTTCAAAGAATTTGTGTATTTTCACTATATAATCAAAAGAGCCCCGCCCTAACACCAGACCCCTGACCCTGGGGCCATAAAATTCATAATTTTGGTAGAGGCACTCTTGCTCATCATATCTATGTACTTAGTAAGTTTATTCAATACCTAGGAGCAGAGAAGAAGATTTTCAAAGAATTTGTGTATTTTCACTATATAATCAATAGACCCCGCCCTAACACCAGAACCCCTAACCCTGGGGCCATAAAATTCACAATTTGGTAGAGGCACTCTTGCTCATCATAACTATGTACTTAGTTAGTTTATATAATACCCAGGAGCAGAGAAGAAGATTTTCAAAGAAATAATGCATTTTCACTATATAATCAATAGAGCCCCGCCCTAACACCAGAACCCCTGACCCCAGGGCCATAAAATTCACAATTTTGGTAGAGGCACTCTTGCTCATCATAACTATGCACTTAGTTAATTTATTTAATACCTAGGAGCAGAGAAGAAGATTTTCAAAGATTTCATGTATTTTTACTATATAATCAACAGAGCCCCGCCCGAACACCAGAACCCCTGACCCTGGGGCCATAAAATTCACAATTTTGGTAGAGGCACTCTTGCTCATCATAACTAAGTACTTAGTTAGTTTATTTAATACCCAGGAGCAGAGAAGAAGATTTTCAAAGAAATAATGCATTTTCACTATATACTTATTTAGCCCCACCCTAGCACAAGAACCCCTGACCCCAGGGCCATGAATTTCACAATTTTGGTAGAGGACTCAGTGCTGATTACAATCATGCAAACAGTTTGACTGCTTGATGTCCAGGAGTAAAGAAGAAGATTTTTAAAGATTGCATTAATTTAAGTGGTTTTGGCCCCACCCCCCAGGCCCCAGGGGGGCAGGGATCATGAAATTCACAATTTTTGTTCTCCTTCACCCATAGATGCTTTGTACCAAATTTGGTTGAAATTGGTTCTGTGGTTGCAGAGAAGAAGCTGAAAATGTTCAAAAGTTTACGACCGATTGACGACGGACGACGAACGACGACGGACGAAAACAGATAGCAATAGGTCACCTGAGTGACTCAGGTGACCTAAAAAATGTTTGTTTGGAATTGCCGCCTGGGGGTTTTCAGACCCAGGAGGGAGGGAGGGAAATTTTATTTTTTTTTACAAATTAAAGCTAATTAATAGACATTAAAAATCGCATGAACAGTGGCGATTTTCGTTAATTTCCCTCTCCCTTTTATTTGATTAATATCATTTTTGTCTAAAATATACACAGAACAGTACTCAAGTATCAATCTTTCTTCGATGTTAGATTTGCTTATCTATTAAAAGTCAAATTTCAGCGTCAAGCTTTTTCTTTATTTAAAAAATCTTTTTAAAACAATTTCTTTACAAATCTTTTTAAAACAATTTGATTAGTGCATTTCATAGCATTTCTCTTTGAAATTCAGCCCATCTTTTATACAACCCTTACAAAGAGTGCGAACCACACAAAATTTCTTAAGTTTGTGGAAAAACGGGAGGGGGTTCTTAGTATGTTCTAGAGTGCTCGCCATGAATCAGTTTTAACATTCGGTGTCAAAGACTTCAAAGACTCATACTGACAGAAAACATTTTTCCTTTTGTATTTGGGAGTAAACATTTCTGACCCATGTAATTTTTTAACTGGGAACTGAACGATCATTTTTAATTTCAACATGACGGACTTATCCTATCAAGTTCAAATGGCAATTTATTACTAGTAGCTCTTTTCAGGTATCGGTGTATCATTCCATTTAATTTTTTTTATTCACCTTTTATTTTTATGAAGATGCATAAATGTTCTGGTCTTCAACGCTTGAATGTTTTCACATCCACTGATCCAACTTGGTCTGACATTTTGGCGGCTTTCATTTTGTCAAATAGCCACCTATATTCCCTATATCATAAATACTATGAATAAAGCGTTTTATTGACTGGTGTTGTTAAATTTATGCGAGCTCAAACCCGACTTTAAAAAGCTATTTCGAAGAACGAACTAACTTGTAGAAAGCGATGTCGGACATAAGACGGTAAAAAAAATATTTCCAATATTTTGCCAATAAAAGTTTTTGAGCGGGGGGTATTTCAATGAGGCGGGCGGCAATTCCAAACAAACTATAATTTTATTTTGGCCTAAGCTGACGCTCAAACCGAAGTTATTCTTAGAGTCGATCGTGGCTCGAACCACAGGGACGGAACGCACTCGCTTGATATTTTGACCCCATAAAATATACTAAGTAGTAAATAAATCACGCAATTTTGGTGCCTGTGCTCGAGTCCAACCAGCACCACAATTTAGTTTTTAATTTGTGCCTGTATTTTATTATTTTAAATACAATTTTTTGTTCAATGTATTTTTCTTCTTTATTGCATGTTCATTTTTTGATATAGAAGACATAAAAGAGAAAACTCGTAAAAATCTAGTCAGACACCACTTCACTATTAAAGCACATTTTCTTTGAAAACACGAATTCTAATAACTATAAAAAGCAATTATATGAGAGAAAGAGAAATCATAAACAAGGTTTTAAATGGATTTTAATGGAAAAAATATGACACACGATCCTATTGTTAGTCTGCTGTAATTTAATAATTTTTTTTCTTTTTTTTTTCTTTTGTCTTGATATGTTCTATCAATCAATCTAACATGGGCAGCTCTTGTAAAATACTATTACACAAAAGGTGTATAAATTTTTCTCTACCATGCAGGTAAAGAACTTTGCAGATGAACAAAATTTAATCCACTCAATTACATCTCTTCATGAATTAAAACTTCCTGGTTTGAAGGAGGTATTTTCAAGGTGGGTTGGATTTTTTGATGAAGGAATCTTTCAATATCTTTTGATTTTACGAAGGTCTCAAAGTTTAGGATGTTTTCTTTTGGTACCTAATAAAAGTATACCCTTTGTTTATGAATAATGTTTTTAAAAAAAACATGTCAAACCAAAGACCTAAAGCAAACTAATTCAGCATTAGCGTGCTCGCCCTTACCTTTAAAATTAAATGAACCAATTGGGCTTCCGTAACATTTGTGCAAAACTAACCGTTTCGAGATTTTTTTTTTTTAACTTCAAAAATATAAAATAATACCTCACAAAATTCTTTTTTTTTTTTTTTTTTTTTTTTTTACATCGGTTTCTACCATATAAGTATATTCAATTAATAAGAAACAATAAACTTCTTCATTCACTAAAACGAAAGTGCACTGGTATCTACCATAAACAATAAAACATCTAGGCATGAAGGAAATGGAAAAAGAAGTAAAAGCGTTTATTGGATCTATTAAAGTCTTTTGTAAGCCTCTATCATCGACCGAATACAAAAATCTCGAACGGAAATTGAGAAGTGCTGCAGAGCAGGTAGGTTGATATAATATATTTACCATCACGATTCATTGCTTCTAAAAAGCTAAAAATTTTGCAATTCTATTTTATTTTCAGTTTGATGAAAATGAAGAATCGTCGAAATCTGAAATATTCAAAGCATTAACATCTTACGAGGATTACCTAAGAAAGAATAACGAAGATCAATTTCAGAAGGCCTCGGCAACCGTTCCTTATAAAACATCTCGTAAAAATATTACAGTGGCATCATCGCCCAGGTAAGTTGCAGAATTGTTCGATTGATTTTAAATTATATTAATTGAATAAAACATAATATGCACAAAAATGCACTGTAGTTTAATATCAGTAGAGTATGTACAACAGAGGTGATATCGCTGAGAGTCTGTCTTCTAAGAATTTATTCCTATGAAGCACCATTTTAGTATATTTTGGTATTTAACAAGTAATATCATCAACAAAATATCACGTCTCTGATATTGATCACTGAATAGGAAATTGATAAAACAATATCTCTTGAATGATTTAAGTCTTCTTCTAAAGAATGATTCTTTACGTAGTATGGGATAGGAATGTTGGTCACATTTCCCCAAACGTTATACCTTTTAAAGTAACAATTGAAAAATTATCATTAAGACAGGGGTTAAATTGCCCCGTAACTATCGAGCTACGGAAGCTCATTTGGGACCTTTCAAAATATATATGCCCTCCTTCGATGCTGTCTGTCTGTCGGTCGGTCCACCATCAGTTTCCGTTCATTTTGTTCGCAGAGGTTGCGCATATTGAAAAGAAATTTAATATGCAAATTATTCATAAGAATATATTTACATCCACTAAATATTTTCTCCTTTATTTCTTAAGAAACCCCATTGCGTTCATCACTTCATAAACTACAGTAGGTAGGTCGCCTGTACAGATTTCTTAATCAGTGGCTGTTCCATCAATGAAACGTATAAAGACGTTCGCATCATTAATACAATAATTAATCTTTTTAATCCTACTTTAATTGATTATTTAAACAGATATAAATATAAACAATAAAATGCTTTCTTTGTTTGTTGTTACTGGAATGAACGGTCGCAGCTATTGCAGAAAAAATTTACATAACCCGCTTACGCGGGTTATGTATTTTTTCTGCAACAGCTGCTTCCGTTCATTCCAGTAACAACAAACAAAGAAAGCATTTTATTGTTTAAATCTAGGTCAAATTGTGTTTGGGGTACGATCGGGCCATTTTGGACAGAATTATGCCCCTTGAAATTAACAAAATTCCAATAGTTTGCAGTTTCCGTTCATTTTCTTCGCAGAGGTTGCACATATTGAAATGAAATTTTGATATATTTATCATTAGAATATCTGGGTCGAGTTGTGTTTTGGGTACGATCGGGTCGATTTGGATAATATAATTTCCATTGGGCTTAAAAAAAATTCAGTAATTTGCAGTTTCCGTTCACTTTTTTCGCAGAGATTGCACATACTAGTAATTATTGCAATGAAATTTGGCATACAGATAAATCATAAAAAATATATAGGTCAAATTGTGTTTTGGTACAATTGGGCCATTTTGGACAGAGTTAGCCCCTTGGACTTCCAATTATTTGGAGGAAGGGGGCATACGTGTTTTACAAACATCTCTTGTTTTGAATTCCATATGGCAATTTGTTGATTTTATAGCCCAAAGAGCATGTTCTTCGTTTTTCCCTATTCAAAAATGTTGCATTATATAATTAATCAGGACTTTTTTGTCACCTATTTCATTATTTAGGAGCTATGGTTCATATTGAGAACCATGAAAGCCAACAGACTGATAACTTCGTAACAAAAAAACATGGTTTATATACATGTAATTATGATCACGTGATTAAAGAGACATCTACACATTGTAACAAAGAACGGTAATCATGATAACATATAATAAACATTAGAGTTATTAAAATTCACAATTTACAAAGTCCATAACACAACCCACGTCTCCTTGAGATTTGTCCCTAATCGTGAAAACAAATGACAATATTGGCATAGTTTTAAACAAAAGACCCAGGGGTTACATTGCTCACCTGAGCAATTGGGATTAGGGGAGGGGGATTTGAACAAGCTTAAATCTACAGTTCCTAAGGACGCTTTTGAATTAATGGAAGGATATGGAGATAACGAGCAGTATACAATCTCAAAGTACCAGGCTGAAGCTAGCAGCCAATAACAGCAGCCATTAAGCGCGTAGAAGCTAGCAGCCAATAAGGAAATTCATCAAAGAACTGAAAGTACTGAGAGACAGTACTGTTTTTAATACTTTATTTTAGATAATTAAGGGCTAATGATTATAAAATTAATGCAACAATTAATTACATAATAAATCAGATACTCAGAGGCAGTAAGGCTCACCTGAACAATTTTTTTTCTTTTTTAAAACCGAAAAATAAGAAATACATTACTTTATAATTTTTATCCAATTGAACAAACAAGCACTGGGAAATGGTTAACTCCTTCAGGAAGAATCCCTTTTCAACTCCTTCAGGGACCTCAAGATTATGACAGGGCCAATAAGCTAACCTGAAATTTGATTAATATATAACGATTGTAAACAGAAATATAGCACAAGTGTAAACTAGGTTGAAGTATGTTTCGAACATTATTACTGGGACAACTTAATGAATCTATCAGACTGTAAATTACCACTATCAGTAATAAGTGGTGGTGGTGCCACTAAGTGGTTCCAAATTTTGATATTACAGGCAGGTATTATACCCATGATTTATAAAGTGATCAACATTACTAGGGCAAGGTAGAAGGGCCCAAGGGTTATTATTTCCTGCTATCAGAAGGGGCTTTAGTGGTATCACCAGGTGGTGCCAAGTGCATGGGTCATATTTCAAGCAATCATTCGTCATCAATTATTGGTCATTAAGTTAAGGGTCTTAGAGGAAATCCCTTGTCAACGTTTCAAAAGGTCCCAGGGACTGGAATGGGCCAGTTATCTACTATGAACTTTGCCTGTTTTGCATTTTATCCCAAAACGCCATTAAAGATCAGCTATTACACCCCTAATCTTTGAAGTGTTCACGAAATGATTAATGGAGCAAGGTAGAGGGGCCCTAGGGCTATCATTTGCCACTTTCAGAATGGGGCTGTAGTGGCACCACCCAGTGGTGCCATGTGCGTGGGACATATTTCCAGCATTCATATTTTATTCATTGTCGGCCTCCTGAACAAACTAACACTGGGGGTGGGTAGGGGGCCTTAGGGGGTACCCCTTGACAGATTTCTGCAGGGTCCTAGGGGCTGGAAGGGTCCAGTTTGCTAACCTGAACTTTGAAGTTTTTCATCATTGTAGATTGGGAAACGGGAAAAGGGCAGCTATTATACGCCTTATCCTTGAAGTGTTCATCAAATGATTATTGGGGCAAGGTAGAGGGGCCCTAGGGCTATCATTTGCCACTTTCAGAATGGGGCTGTAGTGGCACCACCCAGTGGTGCCAAGTGCGTGGGGCATATTTTCAGCATTCATATCTTATTCATTGTCGGCCTCCTGAACAAACTAACACTGGGGATGGTTTAAGGGCCTTAGGGGGTACCCCTTGACAGATTTCTGCAGGGTCCTAGGGGCTGGAAAAGTCCAGTTTGCTAACTTGAACTTTGATGTTTTTCATCATTGTAGATTGAGAAACGGGAAAAGGGCAGCTATTATACGCCTTATCCTTGAAGTGTTCATCAAATAATTATTGGGGCAAGGTAGAGGGGCCCTAGGGCTATCATTTGCCACTTTCAGAATGGGGCTGTAGTGGCACCACCCAGTGGTGCCAAGTGCGTGGGGCATATTTCCAGCATTCATATTTTATTCATTGTCGGCCTCCTGAACAAACTAACACTGGGGGTGGGTAGGGGGCCTTAGGGGGTACCCCTTGACAGATTTCTGCAGGGTCCTAGGGCTGGAAGGGTCCAATTTGCTAACCTGAACTTTGATGTTTTTCATCATTGTAGATTGGGAAACGGGAAAAGGGCAGCTATTATACGCCTTATCCTTGAAGTGTTCATCAAATAATTATTGGAGCAAGGTAGAGGGGCCCTAGGGCTATCATTTGCCACTTTCAGAATGGGGCTGTAGTGGCACCACCCAGTGGTGCCGAGTGCGTGGGGCATATTTCCAGCATTCATATCTTATTCATTGTCGGCCTCCTGAACCAACTAACACTGGGGGTGGGTAGGGGGCCCTAGGGGGTACCTCTTGACAGATTTCTGCAGGGTCCTAGGGACTGGAAGGGTCCAGTTAGCTAACCTGAACTTTGATGTTTTTCATCATTGTAGATTGGGAAATGGGAAAAGGGCAGCTATTATACGCCTTATCCTTGAAGTGTTCATCAAATAATTATTGGGGCAAGGTAGAGGGGCCCTAGGGCTATCCTTTGCCACTTTCAGAATGGGGTTGTAGTGGCACCACCCAGTGGTGCCGAGTGCGTGGGACATATTTCCAGCATTCATATCTTATTCATTGTCGGTCTCCTGAACAAACTAACACTGGGGGTGCTTAGGGGGCCTTAGGGGGTACCCCTTGACAGATTTCTGCAGGGTCCTAGGGGCTGGAAGGGTCCAGTTAGCTAACCTGAACTTTGATGTTTTTCATCATTGTAGATTGGGAAACGGGAAAAGGGCAGCTATTATACGCCTTATCCTTGAAGTGTTCATCAAATAATTATTGGAGCAAGGTAGAGGGGCCCTAGGGCTATCATTTGCCACTTTCAGAATGGGGCTGTAGTGGCACCACCCAGTGGTGCCGAGTGCGTGGGGCATATTTCCAGCATTCATATCTTATTCATTGTCGGCCTCCTGAACCAACTAACACTGGGGGTGGGTAGGGGGCCCTAGGGGGTACCCCTTGACAGATTTCTGCAGGGTCCTAGGGGCTGGAAGGGTCCAGTTAGCTAACCTGAACTTTGATGTTTTTCATCATTGTAGATTGGGAAACGGGAAAAGGGCAGCTATTATACGCCTTATCCTTGAAGTGTTCATCAAATAATTATTGGAGCAAGGTAGAGGGGCCCTAGGGCTATCATTTGCAACTTTCAGAATGGGGCTGTAGTGGCACCACCCAGTGGTGCCGAGTGCGTGGGGCATATTTCCAGCATTCATATCTTAGTCATTGTCGGCCTCCTGAACCAACTAACACTGGGGGTGGGTAGGGGGCCCTAGGGGGTACCTCTTGACAGATTTCTGCAGGGTCCTAGGGGCTGGAAGGGTCTAGTTAGCTAACCTGAACTTTGATGTT